GACAGCACCCAGCCTTTTCTAGAGCTTTAGAATTTCTTTAGGAAGCACTTTCACTTTCCTGACCTTATTTAATTATAAACTAGGGAGGATGTCACTGGCTGAGCTAGAAGCTTCGGGGCAAACTGAGGGGAGGCCGCAAGGAGTCCAGTCTTTCCCGGGCGCCCTGGAGAAGCCAGTTAGGCACAGTCCATCTCTAACCTCACAGCAACCCTCTGGCATACAAGTGGGGAAACCGAGGCTCGGGGAGCTTGACCAGAAGCTATCTTCCCTGTCAGCTGGGCTCCTCCCACACACAGGTGTGGTTTCATCCTCACCTGCTGCTGTGCCTCCTGCTCATTCAGTCACAGGTTGTGATAGGTCATTGTGAGCACCTACTGTGCGCCCAGCCCTCTGCTGGTGGAGGCACGGGGGAGGTTGAGGCCTCTGTCAAGCTCCTCCAGACCCACTGAGGGCCGCAGAGCAGTGGACAGACCAGAGCCAGCAGGGGCATGTGCGTGGACGTGGTTCTTACTGTAGTGTCCTCTTATCCATTGCACCTCATTCTCCCACTGCAAGCCGTTTGGAACCCCACAGCCTGGTGGTTAAAGACCCAGCCCTAGAACTGGACTGCCTGCGTTCAATCTACTCAGTGGCCATGTGACCTTGGGCAGGTCACAAGTTCTCTGCAAAATGAGGACCATAATACATCAGACATTATAATATGTCATACTACACATTACATTACATATTATAATACACTAGAGGCCCGGTGCACGAAATTCGTGCAAGAGCAGGCCTTCCTTCCCCCGGCTGCCAGTGCCGGCTTCCCTCTGACACCTGGAACCCGGGCTTCCCTCACAGCCCTGGCTTCGTCTGGAAGGTCGTTTGGAAGGACATCCAGTCTAATTAGCATATTATGCTTTTATTATTATAGATGAGATCAACAAGTCGATGCATGTAACCATTTAGCACAGTGTGTGGTTCAGGATAATCTCTCAACTAATGTTGGCTAACAATTTACACCTCCATACCAGGAGTTCCCAAAGTATGGACCAGGACACCCCCCACCCCGGGTCCATGAGGCAGAAACTATGTTCATAATAATGCTGACAAGACGTGGAATTTTCTAGAAGTCACCCGACGGTGGTGCCACAACACCTGACTGCAGAGCAGACGTGCGGATGCAGTCCTCGCGTCGGGCGGATTGAAGAGAGGCACAGGAATTAAAACAAGGCCGCTCCTCTCACTAGATGGCTTTTGTTTTGGAAATACAGCTATTTTTCAAACAAGATGTTATTTATGTTAACCAGCACCGGGGTAAACTATTGCTGCTCTTAAATACATGAATACATCATTTAAATTGTTTCTAATCTTAAATGAATGTTGAGAGCTAACAGACACAGGAGTTGCACCCACTTGCACGGAGGTCAGGAAACCTTGTCTCTCCGCATCCCGCGCAGGCCCCTCACCTGCGCTGGACCCGCCCAGGGAGCTGGCTCCCCAGGTGACCCCAGGCTTGGTCTTGTGCTCAGGCTCTTGTTGCCTCCGCCTTTCCTCCCGGGACCCAAGCTCCTACCCGGGCTCCTAATTACCCTAAAGGCATGCCAGCCGGGGTGGTTTGGGGCAGTGACCCGGGTTTTAGAGTCAGGCTGACCTGGATACGAACCCTGACTCTACCCCTTTTTGCCCTTCATCAGGTGGCCTAGCCTTTCTGAGCCTCCATTTCCTCATCCACAAAATGGGAATAACACAGTATCTAAAACTGGAACTGTTTCAGGAGTAGTGATAACTTCTGTAAAATACCCATCACCTGACATGTAAGTCCTGTTTTGTCATCAGCAGCAGCCTTCGGGTCCCCGGGGCCCCTCCAGCTGTGTCCGTCCACTGCTTCTCACAGTCGCACAGAACAAAACCAAGGCTGCCTGCACTGAGACTCTGCTTCCCAGCGCGCTCGCGCTCGCACTCACACACACAGGTACACATGCATGCACACGCACACACGCACACGCACTCTCACACATACACGCCTACCACACGCCCTCGCTCTCTCATTCCATGCAGGGTGTCACCCTACTCTAGAGCTAAAAGTGAAAAATGACAGTAAATGCCAAGCGCCCAGGCTCCAAGAGTGAAAAGGCCCCCCTGCTGCAGGGTTGATGCCAAGGCAGTGCTGGCTCCGGCCAGCGAGTGGTGCCATGACGGGGAGTGGAGGAGGCCTGCGGGAGCCAGGGGCCAGGGCTCTGCTGCTGACGGCCTCCGTGAGCTAAGCAAGGAAAGGCGTTCGCCTTCCAGCTCCGTGCTAGGGAATTCTGGGAGAGGGATGACTGAGGAGCCCTGTCTTCCTGTTCCCTCCCAGGACCACAGGGTCCCGGGGCCACAGGGAAGCCAGCCTCCCCTCCATACCACCCCTCACCCCCCAGGCCTGCCCTGCAGTCCCTCTGCCACTCACCCGACAGTTGCTGAGCTCCTCAGCGGACAGGATGATGGTGCCGCACTTCTTCCCTGGGACACCGCTGGGAGAGGAGAAGGTGAAAGGATGGAGAGCCAGACACAGAAACCAAAGCCTGAACCCTCCCTGAACCAGCCCTCCTCATCCTCCCACCCCCCACCTGCAGCAGATCTGCCAGATGCCAGAGCCCCCCTGTCCTCCCACCCCCACCCCAAGACAGAGTCTCCTGAAACAAGGTGCAGGGCGGCTTAGGACACTGCTTGCTGGGCCAGCCCTGGCCTGGAGCTGCCGCCCCTGCTCCCACCAGGAGAGGCAGTGTCTGCACTGCAAGTCCTAGAATCAGAGAAGCATCCAGACTCACCCAGAGGCTTCCAGGCCTGTGGTTCTGTCCATCCAAAGACCACTTCTGTGGGCAAAAGACCTTGTGGGCAGCCATCCCACCTTGCACGCAGCTGACCCCAGAGTCCCAGAACGTCCCAGCCCTGAGCCGCTCCGATTCATGTCAGCAGAGCAGCAACAGGGAGTAACGCAGAAGGGCTGGCATACCCTGGGGGGAGCGTGCCCAGCCTTTCTCCCATGCCTACCTCCCCTGGACCAACTCCCCAGGGAGGTCGGCCACCCAGGGAATCTCCGCCAGGAGAGCAAGTTCCCAGGGAACATGACCTGCACCGCCTCTTCTCTTATTCAGGAGGAACCCCTCCCACCAGAACCAGTGATCCCACTCCAATGTTTGGGACTAACAGGGGTCCCAGTACGGCCAGGGGCCCTTGGGAGGTAGAAGAAAATGTCACATTGTCCAGCAGCTGCAGGGCTTTGGGCTGAGACTCTCTGAGCCTCAGTTTCCTTACCCATAAAATGGGTATGATCATAGCATCCGTTTTACTAGCGAATATGCACACAGGCCTGGCACAGAGAAGGCCCTCAGGGAGCATCATTTCCCTCCCTGCCCCCTTTCCTTTACATCAGGCCAGCCTCAGAGCCACCGGCATGCTGACTGTGGAACACACTTTGAGAACCACCGATGGAGCTCTTCCTTGCACCAATTCTCAGAGGAAGGGGCCTTCACACAGGAGGCAGGGGAGGCCGGGGAGTGGGTCTGATCAGCCGGCCTAGATCTCTCTATACCAGGGGAGCAGGGGCCACTTCTGGAGGTCCCCCTGTCACAGGCAGGTGGCAGGGCCTGCCAGCTTGTCCCCTTAGACAGGGGCAGCTGAACTGGGTGCCCCCCTGTCTGGCCCTTCCTGGTAGTAGAGAAATGATTTGTGGACCAGGTGATAAACCCTCACACCAGCCTCCTCGCCCAGCGCCTCTCCATCTATCCTCTCTGCCTCTGAGCCCCTCTTCTATTTCCCATCTTCCCTTCCCCTCCCCAGCCCTGCTCCACCTGCTCGGCCTTCCTTTCTGTCTCTCTCCCCCCTTCCCTCTGGTCTTTCTCTCTCTCTCTCTCTCTCTCTCTCCCCCTTCCCTCTGCTCTCTCTCTCTCTCTCTCTTTCACACACACACACACACACACACCCTCTCTATTTCTCTCTCTGACTCCGGCTCACTTTCTAATTGCTGCTTCTCTACTCCCAGGTCAATCAGCATCCACCCCCTCCTGGGCTGTGAGCCCCCGGGTCCCCGGAGGCCCCTCTCCCACACCCAGCTGGTCTGGTGGTTCATCAGCTGCTGGGACCCCAGCCCCCGGGAGCCCTCCGCAAGCTCTGCTCACTCAGCCTGGTGATCATCTTCCGGAAGCACCTCCGGGCTGGACCCCAAGCCCAGCTCCCTCCCCTGCCCCGGTGGGTAAGGACCCTCCCTCCTACCAGGAGAGGAGAGGGGAGGAGTGGGCAGGGTCTGCGTGAGGCCAGCCGAAAGCAGAGGCCAGAGTGGAGGCTGGAGGCTGGCCGCTGCAGCTGGTGAGCAAACGCAGAAAGAGGATTCGCTAAAGCTCCTCTGAGGAGGCTGAGAGGAGGCCGACACCCAGCAGTGGGAGCCATGGAGGGGAAGGGGGTGAGGGGAGGGGAGAGGGAGGTAGAGGGGGACAGAGGAGGGTGAGTGGCGAGAGGAAACCAGGCCAGAGAGAGAGGAAGGGAAGGGAAAGTGCCCAGTCCCTCTGACTCCTGTTAACAGCCCCTACCCAAGGCCCCACGCTGCTCACAAAATCCCTGCTCACAAAGTCCCGGGAGCCACTGGGGCTCCAGCCTGGATGGGGATGGGCCAGCTGCATGCAGAGTGCCCCAAAGTGCCTGAGCCCTTGCGGAGGGACCGGGCCCTCTGTCCCCGGCCAGGCTGGGTGCACAGTGGCGGGAGTTGGACAGGGCCAGGACTCGGAGGCCCCTCTGCAGAGCTGGCGGAGGGTCTGAGGACTCCAGCCAGAGATGTCTGGGGACCTACCCGCTGGACACAGCTGGCATGGGTTTGCCCGTCCTGGAGTTCAGGCTGAACGCTCCTATCCTGTGCGGAGAGGAAGAGGGCGGGTGGTGAGCTAAGCTCCCTGTCCTGAGAGGCCAGAGCAATGGCTTCTGGGTTCGTGGAGACAGGTTTCTGTCCTGGATCAAACATCAAGGTAGGACCAAAAGGCACAGGTCTTCTCCCAAAACCTGGTTGTAAAGTCCTGGGTGATGCTACCTCAGGGGTTCTCAAAGTGGGGTTCTGGGCCAGCGGCATCTGTACCGCCTGGGAATGTGCTAGAAAGGCCCCACCGTCTTTGTTTACCAAGCCCTCCAGGGGGTGTGAGGCCCCTGCGGCCTGAGAACCACTGCGCACCTCTCTGAGCCTCGGGCCCAGGCTGCGGAGTGGGAAGTGCGGAGGGATCCCACGGGGTCACAGAAGCAAAGCTGTCTGGCCCAGAACAGAGACCCTGGTGATCGGAGCTGCCCACAGGCCGGGCCAAGACCACCACTGCCCTGAGGCACTGGACCCTTCGGTGGACAGAAGAGGTCCCCTCCTCCAGCAACACCAAACATCCCCCAGCCCCCACGGTTTAGATCTGCTTCCCCTGAAGGCACAGCTCCCCAGGCCCCTCCTACCCAGGTCTCCCTCAATCCCCCCAAGGCGCGCCCTTCACCTGAGGTGGACCAGGTGACAGCGGATAGAAACCTGACACAAGTGACTCATGGGCTTTTGACCCAGGCAGTTGGGAGCTGAGAGGGGCAGACACACACTCACCCCTGGGTCCCCACATTCTCTAAGCTTCAGAGCCCCCCTAACCTGAGTTTGCTCCCTGTTTTCAACAAATGATAGCTGTTATCATTATTTTCTGTGAGCCCGGAGGAGGTGACCTTTTGGGGGACAGGGAGGCCTTTCTGGGGGCCCTGAAGTTACCCACAGTTACTGGGGAGTCAGAGACAGGGCCTTGGAGAGAGACACCCCCCCCCACACACACACACACACTCATAATAACAGGTTCTGCAATTACTGATCATGTGAGGGGACAGCAGCCAGTGTGGACTTGGCAGAGTCAAGTTGGGGGTGTGCCCCGCCCAGCCCGATCCCCCTCTCCTGCCCACCCTGCCCAGGACCTGGGTGCTCATGCCAGTTTTCAGGCCTCTCTTGCCTGGGCTCGGCTCCTGGCGTTTCCTGAGAAACGGGGACAAGAGAGGTCACCCCCACCACCTGGCCACCCTCAGAATGCGCCGTGAGAAGCCTTGGGTCTCCATCCCAGAGCCTGCTCAGAATAACGACTTCCCCCTGCAAGCACTTAACACCCTTTAATGCAGGCCGTCAAGGGCAGCGTGAGAGGGGGAGGGCCTCACTGTACCCGCTCCGGCCCACACCGAGGGTGAACAATCTGAGGACGTGCAATGTGAGTAGAACCCTCCATTCAACAAACCCCAGCTCTCCCACTTCCTCACTGTGTGGCCTTGGACAAGTTACTTCCCCTCTCTGGGCTTTGGGCTTTTCCCCTCTACAAGGAAAGGGCTGGGGGACGAGAGAGCATCCCGGGGCCGTCCTAGCAATGTGGGGCCCTAATAACCAGCTGGGGTTCCTCCAAGGTAACTGGTTAAAAGCCCTGCGAGGGGAGGGCCCATGGGGTCTCTTACTCCTCACCCCTTCTCGCAGCCTGCCCTCCGCAGGGCTGGGCAGGAAGTTGGCCCATCACTGAAGAAGGAACTCAGACAGGCCCACTCTCCTCTACACTTACGTGAGGGGCTTCTCCAGGCGGCTCCCGGGGGACCCCACAATCTCTCCGAGGGTGCAGAAGGCCTGGCCCAGGAAATCCTGCACATCCGGGGTACAGAAAAGACCAGTGTCACCCACTCTGCTCACAGCCATCCAGCAACCCCCCTCTCCGCGCCCCGCCCCCCCCGGAAGTGTGATGGCTCTGAAATGACAGGACCCGCATCGGACACACACACTCCGTCACAGGGAAGCAGGGCTGGCTCGGACTGGCATTTAAGAAACTGGTAGAATCGCTGGGCAGTGACAGGTGAGACTCACGTGTTTGGATAAGTCAGGGCTCTTCGAGTCAACGTCGTATCTGCAGAAAACACAGAGGTGGTGAGGGGTCCCGCCCAACCCAGTCCCGGTCAGGACCCCGGCGCCCAAAACACGGGCTCTGATCCCAGGAAAGCTCGGACCGGGGAGAGGGCAATGGGGTCCTCCCTGTCACCTGGGGAGAAAAGGGCTGCCAGAGCTGGAGCTGGACTTGTCCCCAAGATCTCTCCTCAACCCCCAGTACCCCCGCCAGGTCAGGTGGCTGCTCAGTGCCTCCCAGTTAACTGAGAACAATGGGGGTGCTTTGTCCCCTCTCCCACCTCCCTTCCTCTCCCGATGAGGCTGCACTCCAGCTAATAGCCACCTTTATCCCAGGCCAACCCGGGCTTCCTCTAACACCACTGCCCCCCTTCCCTGGAAAGGGGACCCCCTGACCAACCATAGGTCCTGCGGCCGCACCTCCCAACACCGCTTCCTCCCCAGCTCCATCCTCGGCACCAGCTTCCACTTACAGGTCGAAACGGAGGTTCTGCTTCTCCTCGAAGAAGTAATCCACAATGAATTTGCGCACGAAGTCGGGGTTGAGAGTGTTGTCGATGACCTCAGTGCGTCCGAACTGCAAGAGGAGACGGGGCGTGGACCTTGGGGCCAGGCTGGCGGCGCAGGGAGCCCTGGGCCCGGGGCCTCGGACCTGGCCCCGTGCTGCCCTGTGACTACCCTCCTTCCCTGGCGGATTCCGGTTAGGTGTGTCCTTATTTGACGCCCCCATGTAAGTGCAAGGGCAGAGACAGGGACAGTGGGGTCAGGTCCGGCCTCCTGGCATCCACGCCCTTGCGCAATCCCTCCCCTTGAATGTGGGCTGGACCTCGTGGCTCACTTCTAATGAACAGACTAGAGTACAGGTCCCTTCCAAGTAACCAGGTCACTCCCAAGATTATGTTATAAAGGACTATGACTTCCGTCTTGGGCACCCTCTTCTCTCTAGCTGGCTCACCTTGATGAAGGCAGCTGCTGTGTTGTGAGCTGCCCTATGGAGAGGCCCATGTGATAAGGAACTAAGGACGCCAGCCCACCCCTAAGAATCAGAATCCTACCAACAACCACTGACCACTTAGACGTGGACCCTGCCCCAGCTGAACCTGGCGATGATCGAGGCTCTGGCCAACACCCTCAACTATGGCCTTGTGAGGTAGGGGATCCCACAAAGCTGCCCCCAGATTCATGACCCTATTGCTTCAGTGGCTAAACCCTGGGCTAGTTTGTTACGCGGCGGTAGATAACTAATACACAGACTCGACTTTCTTGGTGTCCCCTGCAGCATATACTCTAGAATTTCTCACACATTAGACAATAATTGAATCCCCTTCCCTCCCCATTTCTGGGCACCTGAATCACTTGGAGAGTTTGTTAAAACAAGAGTCAGGGCTCACTCCCAGAGGCTCCGATTTAATCGGTTTAGGGTGGTGCCTGAGAATCTGCATTTCTGAAGAAATGCAGGTGGTGCTGCCACTGCTGGTGCAGGCACGGCCCTTTGAGAACCCCGGAGAGTGACACTGTGGCCCACGGGGCCCTGAGTTCCCAGGAGTCTTCCAGGCCTGGGAGGAGGGCAGTGTGGGCTGACCCCAGGCCACCAATTCCATCAAAGCAGCTCTCTTACATCTGCTCAGTCACTGGACATTGTTTGTGAGATTTTGTTTCAAAAGGAGGCATGGATAAAGATAAAGCGCAGGATCCCCGTACTCTACCCTCCATGACAGGAGGGCACAATATTCTCCAAAGTACACAGCAGGCAGATGCACAATAAATAGTTTAAATAGCTTGTTAATCTTTCTTAACATATAAACTTGTTGTCTGACTTGGGCAGTAAATACCAAAATGAAAAACTCAATCCTGAGTGCTCGTCCTCCTTGATGGGGCTCTGCCGCCCAGGAAAATGCCAGCAGTGGGCCCTCTCACGTGTGGTGGGCAAGGTCCCCGCTCTCGGGGCAGAGCCTAGTGTCCCCTTCTACCCTGAGAGGAGTTAGAAACCTGCAAAGAGAACTGCCCCCCAAGGCAGGGTGGGCCCTCTGAGGGGCACTAGATTGGCAGCTTTACCCCCTCAGTCTAACCACTCTCCTGCCCTGTCAATCCCATCAGCTAACTCTCCTGTGCTGTGGCCGTGGACAGGACTCACCGTTTCCTCCTCTTGACCACTGCCTCCTCGTTGGTCCCCATGGGGGCCAATGGCTGAAGTTTGAAGACTCAGCTCCCGGAAGTCCTGCTCTCCAACTCCCACCCCTCCCCTCTGCTCCCATGATCTTCCTCACGTCCTATCGCTGCACTCACCACATGCCCTGACGATAATCTACTGAGGCTCTTTCCACCTCTATGTCCAGGGTCACACAGCTAATGATCGCTGACTTCAAGGCGCCAGCCCAGGCCTTCTGGCCATCTCTCTAAGCCACGTTGCGCTACAGGGGCGAGGGCAGCAGGAGCGCAGTGCTCCGGCGCCTGGCACACAGTAGGCACTCAGGAATTGTTGAATGCAGTGAGGCTGAGTGAGGAAATGGATGAGTGGGCTTGAGTCCTGACTTCATCATAAGCTAATTGTGTGACTTGGTCAGAGCCTTTGAGAGCCTGTTTCCTCAGCCGAAGACGGAGAATACTACTTGTCTTGCTTACGTCTTAAAGTTATCCGATCAATTCAGTTATTAATTGAATGAACAGTTGTGACGCACTTGTTATGGCCCAGGCAGTGTGCTGGGTGCTGAGCTACAAATGTAAACGGAACGTGGACCTGTACTTGGGGGCTTCTCTATTATTGGTGGGACGACTCTAAACAGACACCTACAATACAGAGCGCTAACGGTGCTAACCGCTGCATACTGGGTCTACGGCAGGGTCCTCCCCTGTGGCCGCACATGAGAATCGCTGGGGACATGTGAGATACGGAAACGTGCGGAAAAGCAGATTGCTGGGTGCTCCTCTCCACACACTAGTCCAGTTGTCTGACCTCACAGAGGTCCGCACCTTCCATCATCTGTGAGATGCCTTACAGCTCTGTGAATTGTGGAAGGCGTAGAGCAGTGGTTCTCAACCTTGGCTGCACGTTAGAATCACCAGGGAATCTTTTTAAAATCCTGATTTCTGGGCCTCATCGTCCAGAAATTCTGTTTCTTTGTTATGGGGTGAGGCCACAACATTAGTAACAAAGAAACAGAATTTGCGGAGGATGAGGCCCAGAAATCAGGATTTTAAAAAGATTCCCAGGTGATTCTAATGTGCAGCCCAGGATGAGAACCACCAGCGTAGAGTAATGCAAATGATTCTTGTCCGAAGAAAAACAAATAAATGCAGTAAAGTGGTGTGCAACTGCTTATCTGATTATTACCCTCTGGCTATTGACCAGCTTTGCCTGTATTTATAAATTCTTTTCAGCATTCCTGATTGGCCATATGTGTGTGTTATTTGAATTACAGTAAGTCCTCACTTAACGTCATTGGTGGGTCCTGTGACTTTAAGAAAAGTGATGTATAATGAAACTAATTTTACCACAGGCTAATGGGTGTAAACAAGAGTTACGTTCCCATGGCACCTCATCAAAATTATCACAAAAGACATTAAAAAGAGACCTCGGTTGAGGACCTGCTGTATTTGAACTAGTTGCAACTCTTACTGGTTCCCTCATTAATTAACAAGTTAAATCTTTGCCATGTGTTCATTTTATATTTGTATGGGATTAATGATTTTACTTTTTAAAAATGTATCCTTTAATAGGAGCTTTTTAAAAACACCCATACTCAAGCTCCCGCCCCCCCCTCCCCCACACACACACACACACAGACTGATTAAACCCAGATCCCCATAGGCGGGGCCTGAGTGACTGTTTTTTAAAGTTTCCTAGGTGATTCTAACCTGCAGATGGAGCTGAGACCCAGGACGGGAGGAAGGAAGAAAACGAACATTGACTGAGCCCCCACTGAAGCTCTGTAGACAAGCAGGTCATTGTCCTATTTGGTTCTCACAAAGACCCTGAGTCATTACCCACTGCACAAGTGAGGAAACGGAGACTCAGAGAGGTCTAGTGACTTGCCCAAGTCCACACACATGGGCAGAGCTGGGATCGAAACCCAGGTATGTCTGACTCGAAAGGCCATTACACAGGGGTGGGCCAAAGTAGGTTTACAGTGGCGAGTCCATGAAACAGTTTATTGTTGTATGATTATTTATTAATTATTGTATCATTTTCTACAGGAACAACTGTAAACCTACTTTGGCCCACCCCTGTGTTTTTTTTATTTCATCTAACTGGCCAGAGCCTTTAAACATTATAAAAATCAAAGATGAGTTTTACTTCACAGGCACTTACAGAAGCCCCACTGTGTGCAAGGCAACCGGGAGGACTTCGAGTTGAGAAAGACTGGGTTCCTGCCCCATCGCCTAAATTCAATCTAAACCTTATCATGTCTGACCCTTGTTCCAAAAGAGTTCCTGCATTTGCCTCTCCTGCTCTTTCTAATTCTTCATACCTCCTGTCTTCAGACAAAAGGAAAATTTCTCCTAAAGGCAGAATCTTCCAGGTAAACACCCTGTTTCAAGAGAATGCTCCATTAAACTGGGCCATTCCTCTCCCTCAGTGCATCGCCTCCTCCCTCAGACACCTGTACCCCCACTTCCACCCCCATGCAGGACTCTGGAGAAAGCCCAGTGCGGACGGAGCCAGCATTCTTTGTGCACCCCTCTCTCCGCCAGCAAGGAAAACACCCATTAGGGGAGATGACAGCTGCTTTTAAAATGGCACTTGAAGCTGCAACAGAGGGGAATTCCCTGGAGATGGATCTGCTGCTGGAGGAGAAAATGGAGTTCCCCTGGAAACAGGACAGGGAGGGGTACTCCGGGGCCCCCATGTCTCCTAGAGCGGGAAAGGGGGTGGTGAGCCGGCCGGGCAGTGATGAATTACCAGGACGCAGGGGTAATTAACATGTGCCCTGGCACAAAGGCCTGTGCAGCCTACGACCCAGGGACTTACTAAAGATGGTTTACAGCTTTCATTACTTGAGCTAATAACAAAGGAAATACATGCAAAAAGTTGGATTTTTAAAATTCCAGGAAGCCACCGGGTCCCTGTCAGGCCCAATTTACACCCCTATTAATGCTGGTAGGAACACAACTGAACTGATGTTAAAAAAAAATAAAAAAAATCAATGCGGCTTATTTCATCCTACACAGAAGTGTTGAGTTTTCCAGAGCAAGGAGGTGTTAGCAGTGGGGAGCACACAAAGGCATGTGATCTGTGTACTTGGGAAGGAGGGGCCGGTGGGTGAACCCCTCGCCACCTGTGAGCAGAGCAGAGCTAACCCTGAACACTCCCAGCTCCTGAGAAACACCCGTCGCTCCTCCCGGTCCTTTCTGAGCCCCTCTGCCCACACTCCGGGGTCTGAGGATAGGAGGGGCCTCACACGGCCCACAGTCTGGGGCACAGGCCACCAAACCCCATAGCACAGGAACTCTCAGGCCCACAAAGCCGAAGAGAAGCCCCCAAATCTTTGTTTTACCAAGTAAGTCTGGTGCAGAGGGCCCTAGGGTCTGTGTGCGTAATTGGGGAAGGGACTGTGCAATCCAGGAGGTGTGGGGGCC